GAAAGAGTTCATTTGGGGGTCTGCTGACTGAGGTGCAGATAGAGGGCATAGGCCTGTCTTAAAACCCTTGGGGATTCACTTCTTTCCAGCTTCCTGAAAACTAAGGTGGTCACATGACTAAATCTGACACCAACCATTTGAAATGAACCAGAGACTGCTCTTCATGGACTGCCAGCAGTTTTCAAATAAATGAAGGCCGTGTCGTCGCATCACCCTGTGCAGGTTTTAGGCACCTGTAGGAGACATCGTGTGCCTCCGAGAGAGGCAGGACAGAGAATTCCATGACAGGTCATGTGGGCCTTGATGCTCCTATTCTGAAAAGACTTCACAGAAATAAACACAATCACAGAAACGGAGGACAGATGTTTTCTTCTCGCGTAGGTGTCCTTGTTGACAAAGGCCTGAGTTCATCAGAATTAGACACAGAGCTATAGAACGTTACAGAGGGTGTGGAAGGGCGGTGTGTTTGTGCCCAGTGCCACCAAGCTCATAAATGGCAGAGGTGAAATCAGTAGCGAGAGCCACCTTTATTTAGTGCTCGCTGCATGGTAAGCACAGTATCAAGCCCTTTCCCCAAAATGTTTGTGCTTATCCTCCTTTTACAGATGAGGACATCCAGGTACAGAAAGGTTGAGTCACTTCCACAAGGTCACACAGCTAGAAAGTGGTGTGGTTTGGTTGCAAACCCACACTATCTGGGTCCTGACTTCCTACCGCTCTTACCACCTGCTTCAGAGCGTAGGTTTCTCAAAGCCAACATCACTCAAGAGGATATTTCCTTGGAAAGAACTTTCCAATGCTGCAGTCCCCTTATTATTCATGAGCTCATCCAGTCCTCTCTCCAGGCCTAATAATCTGACCATGAACTGCCATTGCCTCTGTTTGCCCAATTCTAGTCCCAAATGTAGCTGGCAGTCAGTGCCAGCCAAATTGAGACCAGAGGATGACTGGCCCGTCATTGGCTTAGATGCCATCCGCCAAACAGTAAGTGTTCTCTGATGGACTGGCTGACCTCGCCGTTCATCAAATGGATGAACAGGATCTTCCCCAGATCCCCCTTTCTTCCCATGACTCGGGCGCCTCCTCGAACTCCAGCTGCCCAGCAGTGGGAGCAGCATGAGTCCAGGTCTGTTGTCTGCACAGAGCAGGAGCAGCCGTCTGAGCTCATTGCAGACAGCTTTCTTGCTTTGTTCTGCTACTTTTCTTCCTCCTATGTGTTTGTTTATACCAAAGCCACATTTATCATCCCTACTTGCAAGAATCCTCAGTCTCTCAGATGACACATAGAGACTCCCTTTGCCTGAGGCACATGTGAAGTGAGACCGGATTCACAGTGGGGGCAGTGCCTTCTCCGGAAATTGAGGGAGTGGTGCAGTGAGAGTGAGGGGGAGAGGTTGAACCAAATTGAATGAAGCTGCAGAGATAATACGTGATCCAGACCTTAAAGAACAAGAAAGAATTAGCTAAGCCGAGTAAGATGATATTCCAAGAAGAACTAGCATTGTAAGGCCCACGAGTATAAGAATATAATGTTCTGAGAACAACAACAACAAAAAAATAATTTGGTGGGACAAGCCAGTGGCATGGTGTTTGAGGTGGCTGGATCTCATATAACTGGCTGCACAGTCTTAGTTCCAGACCTGGAGACTTGAGGGACACACCGGGTATGTGTGTGCCCAAGATCCTGAGGGGACAACAGAAGAGAGGGAACTGTGGTGTGGCCATCCCCTCTGGTGGGTGGGATGCTTTCTCACTTTCTCTCTCTCCTGTGTGAACCCACATGCCCTAATAGCCAGCTAGAAAAAAAAGAAAAATAATAATTATCATCTGGTAATAATATGAGAATGAGTGAAGGAAAGTGGGGGTGGACATCAGCCTCCACTTGTAGTCTAGAATTTGGGCTGGAGGCCAAAAGGAACTGTCAGCAATTTAGGAGAGAAGAGCAGAGAGCCATAGACAGAGCTAGTAGAATCAGGTGGAAGATGAAATGGAGACCAACCATTCAATTAAGCACTGTGGCTGTCTCCAGATTAAAATAATAATTGTTATTAAAAGAATCTCAACCAGGACTATGGTTTTGATTTCTCAAATAACATAAATCCCTGAGCTGTTGATCACCATTGCATGAGCCACTGTTCCAGGTGAGAGAGCATAGTGTTTCCAGGTGGTTAGACAAAGCCAACTGAAAGCCTCTACCAAAGGAGCCACAGCGATATTCACTGAGAGGCTAGAGGGGTCACTTGAGTAGAGAAGAGAAGGAGGATGACAACTAGGGGAGGTCACATTTGAGACATCTGGTCATCAAGGGCACGGGAAGAAAGAGGAATTGAATGAAGAAATGCTAACATTCAGCAGTGGATGAGCTTGCTCTTTCTCAGATTCAGGCCACTACTGTAATGTCAGAGACAGGGACGGTGCAGGCACCTGAGACAGCTTCTTCACCTGCCTCTGCCCTGGTCATTGGTAGCCAAAGACAAAACTCTAGACTGGATAATCCCAGTGGCTCTAAGGACCTGGAGCCCACCATGGAGGCAGAAAACATGCTTCCACTGGAAGAGCACATGGGAAGGCCTGTTCTCATCTACTCTCTCTGCAAACCAGGAAAAGAAGCACATCTAAGAATAGACTTTTGGGGTTTTGTGAGTTTAGTGTCATCTTGGAGTCTGAAAAACAATGCTGAGTAATGGAAGCTCAATTGCCCAGGCACAGGGCTTTTAGTAGTCTGAGCCTGCCATGGTGTACCACCCTCTTATACAATGTGTTCGTTTTAGGGCCAACTCTGTGACATGGAATCCACACAAGATGATGGGTGTCCCTTTGCAGTGCTCCGCTCTCCTGGTCAGAGAAGAGGTATGTCTTTCCTGACTGTCCCAGTCAGTCAGTGGAGTTTGACTCTCTATATAGTTGATTTTCTCTCAAAATGTCAAGGTCAGGGCCAGCAGGTGGCATGGTGGTGAAGGCACTGGACTACCACATGGCCGACCACTATTCAAGTCCCAGACCCAGTGGCTTGAAACTCACTCTGGGCACATGTGGGTGCCCAAAATCTCAAGAGGAGACTAGAGGAGAAGAATCATAGCATGGACATCCCCCTGGAGGGTGGTTGTTCATTTTCCTTATCTCTGTATCTGTCTGTCTCTTTCTTGATCCAGCGAGTCCACGTGCCCTATGGCAAAAACATAAAAAATTTTAAAAAGTCAAGGTCTTCCCAGTCAGACTGATCACATTCCTCAAATGTACACTTCAACCTGGAGAGTACAGAGGGGAAAAAAGAGTTAGAAGATCTCAACTTTTAGAACGTAAACGTTGGCCAAAATCCCATGTTTTCAGTATGATAGTCCTTTCCTCAACTGTACTGAGTATCCTCTAATCTGGAGACCCTGTCTGATACTCTCACAAGATGAAATTTCCATTACTGTTCTGGAAAATGAGAAGGGATCATTTTATCAAAAGAAGTAATATGCATGATATAGAATTAAGGTTAGTGTTAGACTTCAGATACATATATGGCTATCTATGTCATAATGCTCTTCTATTTGATAGTTAACACCATGTTTAGAAGGTAAGACATCTGTGTATACAACCAGCAAGAGAAGAATAAGCAATGACCACTCTCTTCAGGATACGTCTATTAGCACGGCCAAGGGTCATCCTCTGTAGATGCTCACTATTGATCAATGCCCCTACAATACCCTTCCAAGATGCATGGTTGGAATCACATCTCCTCAATACTTTTTATTATCATTTCTAATTTACATATAAGAGTTGTACATCTTTGTAGGGTATAATTAGGAAAAAAAAGTTTTTTGAGAGATTTTGCTGTACGGTACATGCACTCACCAGAGAGACAGAAAGTGAAAAATCACCCCCCACGGGGATGGCCATGCTGTAATCCCTTCTCCTCCATTCTTCTCTTGGGATTTTGGACATGCACACACACACACACACACACACACACACACACACACTCCTTAAAATATCTTCAACAGAATAAATATTAGAATAAGCTTCAACCCCTTGAGACCAACATAAGGAGCTTCAGTTTATCCTTATTAAATTTTACCTCACTAGAATTAATAAAGTAGTCTCATATTAAAAGAATTTTTAAAATATTTGTATTTATTTACTGTTAAAATATTTTGCTTTTTCTTGATTATGAAGTTAACTAGTAATTACTTTCAAAAATTTGTGCAGGATGGATCATATAAATAAATTTAGAATCACTGAAAATTTTATCACTTGGAAATCAGTATTATTCCTGCTTTTAATATTTTCTCTCAAAATTTTTCTGGGGATGTGTATTCACAGAAATATATATTTAGTATATATATTTAAAATAAAATTGCTATAATATATGTCACATTTATTCTTTTTCATACTTATTACCATACTATGAGCAGTATCTTCTTAAACATGACTTTTATTTTTTTATATTTCATTTTTTATTTTATATGTTTAATCACTATACATCACTGTGCTTGTAAGATGAATTTACCAGATATGAATACACTTCTCACCTGTCAGCCGAGGATACTAAACACATTATCATCAACAGATAACAATCCACTTCTGTGTCCCACAAATGTCCACCTCTCTGTTTTTCTACTTAATTTCCTTCCCTATACTCTCCCTCTTCTCCCACCCTCCTCCCATATTGTCTCCAGAATCTATAACCATTTTAAACACTTATATGTCCTCCAACCTCTCAGTTTCCAACATAGAGTGTGCCTAGTTGGTATATGTTAAATGGAGATATACAGTGTCTCTCTTTCATAACCTAGCTTGCTTTACTCAGCAGCAAATCTTCCATATTCATCCACTTTCTATCTAATGCCAGAGTCTCATTTTTTATGGCTGAGTAGTATTCCATGGGTTATATATGCCACACTTTTCTAATCAATTCATCTGTTCATTGAGTCCATTTCTTAGGAATTGTAAATAATGCTACAATAAACATAGATGTACATTCACATGCACTTTTCCAACTGAGCACTCTCCCATCCTTTGAGTAGAAACCTAGAAGTGAAATTGTTGGATCATATGGTAGTTTTATTTGTAGATCTTTGAGGAACCTCCATATTTAACTCCACAGTGGCTGGACCAATTTACATTCTCACCAGCAGTATAGGAGGGTTCCCCTTTCACCACATCCCTGCCAGCACTTATCATTTATTGTTTTGCTTTTTTTAAAGAATTATTTTATTTACTCTATTTGTTTATTTTAATTTGACCAGAATGAGAGAGAGAAAGAGAGAGAGAAAAAAAAACGAGAAAAGAAGCCACCAGGTCCGGGATTCAAATTGCACTTGGCCATGTGGGAGTCCAGTGCCCTTAACAACTATATCACCTGCCAGCCCCCATTTATTGTTTGGTATATCTTTGCCATTCTGACTGGGGTTAGGTGGTATCTCATTGTGATTTTGATCTCCAACTCCCTTATAATGAGGGATACTGAGCATTTTTTCATATGCTTTTGGCTATTAACATGTCTTCCTTAGAGAGTTGTTCATTCAGCTCCTTTTTTCACCTTTTAATTGGGTTAGTCATTTTCTTTTTCGGGTAAGCTGCTTGAGTTGCCTGTGTAATCTGATTATCAGTCCCTTATCTGAAGCGTAGTTTACAAAAATATTCTCCTATTCTGAGAATTGTTGATTCACACTAATTACTGTGTTTGTTTGTTTGCTTTTCTGTGCAGAAACTTCTTAATCTGGTGTAATTCCACTTGTCTATCTTTGGGATTATTGCCTGTGCTTTGGTGGTCTTATTTAAGAAGTCTTTGCCTACCCCAGTGTCTCCCAGAATTTCCCTAGTGTTTTCACCAGTAGTTTTATAGTTTGAGGTCTTAGCTTTAGATCTTTGTCCACTTTGAGTTGATTTTTGTGAATAGTGAGAGATAGGGGTTTGGATTCATCTTTCTGCTGGTGGATATCCAGTTTTACCAGCCTCCTTTGTTAAAGAGATTTTCCTTTTCCCAGTGCACTGACTTTGTCGAAAGTGAATTGACTGTATGTTTTGAGGTTTTTTACTGAAGTCTCTATTCTGTTCCTTTTGTTCACATATCTGTTTTTGCACCATGCTGTTTTGATTATCACAGCTTTGTAATATATTTTGGGGTCAGGGAATGAGATGTCGCCACTCCACTCTTTTTGAGCAGGATTGCTTTGGCAATAAGATGTCTTTCATGATTCCAGATAAATTCTATGATTGTCTTTTCTAGATCTGTAATGAATATTTCCTGTAATTTGATGGGTATTGCATTAAATATGTAGATTAATCTGGGTAGAATTGCCATTTTGATTATATTAGTTCTCCCAATGCAGGAACAAGGGATATCTTTTCACTTTTTTGTGTCACTTTCAATTTATTTTTAGAGATTTTCATAGCTTTCCTTGTACAGGTCTTTGAATTCCGTGGTTAGATTTATTCTAGTTATCATGCTTTTTGTGGCTATGGTAAATGAGGTTTCTTTCTTCAGTTTTGCCTCTACCTGCTTGTTGTTTGTATATAGAAATGCTATAGATTTTTATAAGTTAATTTTTGTATCCTTCCACTTTATTTATTTATTACTTCTAGTTTTTCATGGAAACCTTTGGGTCTTCTATATTTATGATTATGATATCTGTAAATAGAGATGATTTCAACTCTTCTTTGTATTTGAATGCCTTTTATTTCATTCTCTTTTTTGATTGCCTTGGCTAGGACTTCCGGCACTATACTGAAAAGGATCAGAGAATTTTGTCTTGTACCAGTTAAAAACTTTTCCCTGTTTAGTATAATGTAAGCTATAGGTTTTTTCATAGAGGGCTTTTATTATGCTGAGACATGATTCATTCTGGGCCGATTTTACTGAGAGTATCCCCATGAAGGGATGTTGTATTTTGTTGAATACTTTTTCTGCATCAATTGAAATGATTATATGGTTTTTATCTTTTTTTTCTGTTGATATGGTATATTACATTTATGGTTTTACATGTATGTTGAGCCACCCTTGCATCCTTGGAATAAAGCCTAGTTAGTCATGATGAATAATCTTTCTTATATGTTGTTGGATACAATTTGCTTGTATCTTGTTGGTCTGTAGTTCTTGTTTCTTGTTATATTCGTATCTCTTTTGGGAATGAGGGTGATGGGAGCTTCATAAAATAAATTTGGGAGGATTCCAGCCATTTAGACCTTCAGAAATAATTTGAGAAGAATGGGAGTTACCTCTTTGAAAGTTTTTTAGAATTCAGAAGTGAAGCCATCAGGACCTGGGTTTTTCTTTGTTGGAAGGACATTTATTACTGATTCTTTCTCATTGCTTGTTATGGGTCTATTCAGACTTTCTATGTCCTCCTGAGTCAATCTTGGTAGATTATTATATGTGTCCAGGAATTTGTCCATCTCATCCAGCTTTTCTTCTTTGTTGGTATATAGATGCTCATAGTATCCTAATGATGTTTGATATTTCTATTACGTCCATTTAATATTCCCTGCTTCATTGTGAATTTGATTTATCTGGTTCCTTTCTTTCTTCTTTTTAATTATCCTAGCTAATGATGTACCAGCTTTTGCTTTTATTTATTTTCAATTTCTGTTCAAATCATTATTATTTCTTTTCTCCTGAAATTTTTTAGATTTTTTTTATTGTTATTCTTCTAATTCTCCGAGAAATAATGTTAGGTTGTCCATTTGCCATCTTTTCATCTTTTTCCTATGTGCACTAATTGTTTTGAACTTCCCTTTTATGACTGCTTTTGCTGTGTCCTGTAGGTTTTGGAAACTCGGGCACTCATTATCATTTGTTTTCATGAATCTTTTTATTTCAGTTTTAGTATCTTTGGTGGTTATGATGTCATTCAGAAATAGAT